AAACAACCACCCCATCATTCTTGTTGTAATCGCCATGATTGTATAACATGCTATAGTTTTTTATCGCAAATGGTGACTTTTCAAAATTATCCTGTTTGAAAGTTTCGGTCAAAATAATGATTTCAAATTCAACATCTATACTACTGAGAAATAAACATAGTTTGTCAAAGTTTCTATTTAAACTGGAGATATTTAGGTGGAAAATTTTCAAATCCTTATTCTGTTTTGAATGATTGTTGTTAAAAAAATTTACACTTTTTATTTCAAAAGTGTCATATGTTTCATCTTGGAAATTTTGTATATAATTGTCTATAATGCACTGCGCTTGTACCTATATATATTTATGTAGGTACAAAATCGAAATGTTTGAAATTTATTTGTCGAAGGTCTTAGACTATTTGGTACAATTAAAATAAATATAATTTGAAAGACATACTCAAAGAAACAACGCAAAAAAAAAACTTTAAAAATTACAATAAGGATATTTCACCCAACAATAGCAAACAAAAAACGCCATTCATGTTTCCTTTTTTTGTGTGCTCTAGTTCTATATTCTCGCGGGCTAGGTGTTTTCGCCTTTTTTCTTTTTTTCTTGTCCTCACAATCTTCTTCGGCTTCTGATAATCCTCTACGAATTTCTTCGACCTCTTCTTCCTGTCCTGATGATTCAGAGGAACTGTCTTCACTGCTTTCCGGTTTTGAATATAATTCTTTGAGCTCCTTAGATGTATACATTTTTCCTTCGATTTCCAGCTTTAATCCCTTAATTTTGGCCCGCTTGTTTTCTTCTCTAGCTTTTTTCAAGTATTCTCTAAGTTTATTTAGCTCCTTTCTGTCCTCCTCACAGGTCGTTGGAGATACTATAGCCAGTGCCTCCTAATCTTTTTAGTTTCTCCTGGTCTGCAAAAAGTTCACTTTTCTTCAAAAATGAAACAAATTCAACAATAATTGGTGCATTTTCAGATTTTCCCAACTTATATATGTTGTTTATATCTCTTATATTGATATTTTTTTGAAAAAGCTCGTTAAGTTTGGACATGGTACTTTCTACTATACTTTTGGAATCTTCGATTTTAAGTCCAAAAAATATAATGTTGTTTTTTCGTATTTTTCTTTCTAGATTCAAATTTTGTTCCTGTATTTTCTTTATTTTATCTTCGCTTTTTCCAATTTTCTTTGTGATATTTACTTCACTAGTCTGTATTTGTTCTGTTAGGTTTTTGGTGTGTTTTTTGTTTTCTTGGGATAGTAGTTTAAACATGTCAGCAAATGACTTTGGCTCCTCCATTATATTGAGAGCGATATTCCCTCTTGTTGTCTTTCATAAGGTAGGTAATGCGAATAAAGTTTGTAATTTTACGTATATTTTCGAACCGACCAAATCGGAATTATTCCAAAAAAAAACGTTGGCCGATAAACCAGGCGATTTGCAGACTGATGGGTTTGAGAATGGTATTTCATGGGCGTGGTATAATGGTTTATTTGCGAAATTGAACCTTATGATATGGGATACCAGATAGGATATTGCAATATTTATATTTAATAAATCAGTGTTTTTGTGGTAGTAATAGGGTTGTGCAGCCTACCTTATATAATATCCTGATAAAATACTTCACTACGATTCAGTTGACACCACTTTTATTATATTATCGCCACTTGAAAGTACATATTTTCGGAAAAAGAAAACTTGAAGAAAACATTCACACACACGACTTGCTTGTCCAACAGAAGATGTTATGAGCTATTTCATGGAGGAAATGAAGAAACTACTACTAGAAGGTAGAAAAACGGGAAACGATTCCAGAAAAACACCAATTCCGAGAAACAGCGTAGAATGTTACCGGTGCCATAAGCTTGGACATATTCAACGAGATTGTAGAGTAAGGATATCCTCTCCATCTAGAAATCGTTTCCAACGCATTTCGAGATCTAGAGACGCCATCCCAAATAACAGACAGGGAAACGACAACTAACCAGTATGGAGGGGTGAATGCTGGTTAGTAATGACGAACCCCCAGGGTCGTTTACATAAAGTCATTGGGCAGTCATTATAGAGGAATAAAATTCGAAGGGCAAATTAATGGAGAATTTAAATCCATCACTTTTGATACGGGTGCTGAAGTTTCTGTAATTAGAAAAACATTAGTCAAGGCTCGGGCAGTCCAACCTCTCACTAGAAACCTGTCACTACGAACAGTCACGGGCGAATCGGCATCAGTTCAAGGAGAAGCTATTGTTGAGCTTACTTTTGGATCTACCATCTTCAGGCACAGACCATTAGATATAGAGGATGATTTTATCTTGGGAATGGATTTGATAGGCCATTATGGTTTTTCTTTTGATCCTTCAATGAACATCCTTAAATTTGGTAATGAAGAATTTGTCCCAACTACACAAGAAGAGTCTCAGGCCGTTAAGATTCTGGCCACAAAACCGGTGAGGATTCTTGGAAGTAGTGAGAAGATCATTTGCGAAAAAATGGAAACAAACACTGGGTGCGGCGATAAACTAACACACAATTTTATTGGAGATAAACCAGAAAAATTTCTGGTTGGAAAGACTCTAGTAAGAACAAATGGAGACATTATGATAGGAATTGCCAATGTTTCTCCTGAAACAGTAAAAATAAAGAGAGGAGATAATATTGGAACTCTCGAACCAGTTAAGCAAATATCGCACTGTAACCTATCAGATAAGCGACATTTTGTAAAACCGAAATTGGATACAGACATCTTGATGCAGACTTTGGCGAAATCATGAAAACACCTCGATCCAGATAGACTTCAAAAAGCCACAGATTTCATCTTGAAAGAAGCAGACGTATTTGTGATAGATAATTAAACCGGACGGACCAGTTTAATTCAACAAAAAATTGATACTGGATTGGCACACCCAATTAGACAACCACCTCGACGTATGCCAGTAGCTAGACAACAGGAAATGGAAAACCAAATTGATAAAATGCTTCAAGAGGGGATTATTGAAGAGTCAAATTGTCCAGTCCATTGTCTGCGCCAGTAGGATTGGTTACGAAGAAAGATGGAAGTCTTAGATTTTGTGTGGACTACCGTGAGCTTAATGACGTCACCAAGAAGGGCGGCTTCCCTCTCCCGAGGATAGACGAAACATCAACAACTCTATCAGGCTCCAAATGGTTTTCCACCTTGGATCTTAAGAGTGGATACTGGCAAGTGGCAATACACAAAGATGACAAAGAGAGAACGGCCTTTAGTACCGAAAGCGGGTTATATCAGTTTAACGTAATGCCTTTCGGATTGTATAATGCTCCCGCTAGGTTTGAGCGACTGATACATCTAGTTTTGCGAGGCCTTACATGGAGAACTTGTCTGGTATATTAAGATCATGTCAAAATCATGGGAAATTCATTCCAAGAACATCTCCTGAAAGAAGTTTTTGACCGGTTCCGGAATGCCAACTTAAAACTAAATTCAAATAAGTGTTTTCTATTTCAAAATAAAGTGGAATTCTTAGGTCACATAGTATCTGAGGATGGCATACAAGTTACGGAAGGAAAAATAGATGCTGTCAGAAATTGGCCAAAACCACGCGACAACAGGAACATGGAGTTTTCTAGGATTATATTCTTATATCGAAGATTTGTGGAAGGACTTGCCAATGCAGCTGCTCCGATTCATCGACTAACAGAAGAAAAAACAACATTAAACTGGACCCAAGAATGCGATTCTGCATTTAGAAAACTAAAAGGAGCATTATGTAAAAGCCCAGTGTTGTCCTATCCCGATCAGAAGGGCATGATGATTTTGGACACAGATGCAAGCATCGCTGGTATTGGAGCGGTACCTTCACAAATCCAAAATTCACAGGAGCATGTCGTAGAGTACTACAGCAGAACCTTATCAAAGCCAGAACGAAATTATTGTGTCACCAGAAGAGAGTTGCTTGCCATAGTAAAAGCAGTCGACCATTTCCCAAAGTATCTCTACAGACGTAAGTTTCTGATTCGAACGCAGCTCAAAAATGGCTTGTAGAAATGATAACTCCCGAACGACAGCTTGCTAGAGGGATTGAAAAATTGCAGCAATACGATTTCCAAATTAATGATTTGGTTTATCCAGTTCAGCGCAACACCAGGAGTAAGATGAAAGTTGTACATTTGGACAGACTGACGAAATATCATGGACGCGAAGTTAATCGAGACGATCAACCTTAAGAGGAGGGCAGTGTCGCGAAAATCTGGCGGGTGTACAGAATTGGACAGCTGATTCTAGATTTTACAGTGCTATTCGGGAAAAAGGGCTATTGCGTTCATTCTGGATTTTACAAGAATGAATTACGGATATATAAAGGCCGGTATTAGTGAGTAGTTTTTAAGTTTTAAGATTGGCTGTGATATGATTTAGATAGTGAATATTGTAAAGTTGTAGAGTTAAGTTGTTTGAGTTAATTAGTGGAGTAATTAGTGTTAGAGTGTGTAGTAACGTGGAATAAATTATTGTTGTGGTAATTGGACTTTGATTTTGGACCAATGTAACTCACAGTAACTTTTTTGATTTTAGAGTTTCAAATAACATTCCACTCACATCAACTTCAAGCATTAATAATAACAAAATAACTTACAAACATGAAACCAATTTACTTCTGATAATCTGTACTAACTGGGTATGCCTTTCTCGAAATACTCTCAAAATGATTGAACTAATTCGTTTCATTCAAAATGTAGCCAACCAAGTGCGCTACCTCTAACAAAAACAACATAAATTGGAGCAAATGGCCATACTCCAGGTATAGATAGATAGAAAAAAATCATATTATGGTTTACAAGGTATGATACGGATACCAACAAACTCTGCCTTCCAAGCATGAGCTGAAGTGCCAAAACGTATTAGTTTTTCATAATCTAGGGACAATATCACATGAAAATGTATCCATTTCACGGAATATGATTAAATACTTACATGCCTTTCAAGCGAACTGAAAATGTGATAGTGAATAAAACAACTGTATTATTATAATATTTTTATTTACGTAACAACGATTAAATTTTGCTACACAATAATACATTCAATATTTTAAATTTCTAGGTAGTTTTGGCATAGTAGGGTAACTGCAGTAGCTGCTCATAAATATTTATATATACTATGTACATCAAGCTAATAAATAAATACATACAAAAATATTTACATCAAGCTTTCGTTATAAATACACACTTACAAAACTTACTACATAGTTCAGCTAAATGTGCACTTGGCTTTCTAAAGCTTCGCTTTAGCTACTATCCAGGGGCGCGAAATATACATTTGGCTGGTTCCATAAATATACATTTGGCTGGTTACGTTTTTTTTTCTAAAAAAATAGTTTGTATTTTGAAATTAACCGCTTTATTGGGTAGGTACTTTTTAAGAAGACTAATCCTGAAAATCAATAAAACAGATTCAAATGGTTTGTGAGTATGTCGATATTGATTTCACAAAATAAGACATAAATTTAAAAAATTGTTTTATTGAGACTCCTGAAAACCCTGTTTGTTTATCAACTTATTTTTGAAATGTTCAATCACTATCTCACACCACATATGTTGCACGTTTAACCTATAGTACCTATCTATTATAGTTGATGCAAGTATTCCCTCGTACCTATATGAAATCGAAGAACACTCTCACGTAAAATTTCTTGCACAACCATCCCAACTTACTGCTAACTGTAAGTTTCAAACCAACCCTGACATTGGCGGTCTATTTACCGGACTAGATGGTAAACTATGCACTGCTGCCGCAACTGCTGCCTGATGATGGTAGTATAACGAACTAGGGTAACCGCCAGGTGATGCTGAAACTACTGAAGATCCTGTACTGGCCGCACTCTCTCGTGTGTCCAAAGAATGATGTAGACCTAATGATCCATGATTTTGGTCAAAGGGGTGCCTTATGGAGGAGTTAGCCGACTCGTGATAAAGAATGGGGACTCGCACGAGTCGTTGAGCTGCGTGGGCCATGTTAGCAGCTTCTAGTTCAGCTGCTAATTGACGCTTCCATTTGTTCCTGCGATTCTGAAACCAGATTTTAACCTGTGTTTCGGTAAGGTGTAGACTGGCAGCTAGACCAGCACGTTCTGATGACGATAGGTATCTGGAAAAAAAGGAGAATTTTATAGGCATATTTTTAAACTTTACCACCAAGACGCATAATCAGGAATCGATTCTCAATTATTTTTTTTAGGTGAGTGCGATGAGAGATTTTGTATTAAAATTACACGCTATGACAATATGCGGCAAATTTAATGTCGAAAGACAGAGGAAGAGGCAAATAATGTTTCTGGATAACTCAAAATAATTTTATTTTGTTTAGTTTCAATTAAATTTAACTCTGTTTATTGAGATTAGAGTTGTAAAGTGAACAAATCAAAAGTACCTAATCGATTTTTTTAAGTTTTAAATTCAAAAATGAAGATTCAACCTGGGAATATCTGTTCGCTAGCCCATTGAGCGTGCATGCGCAACCGCTACTTTAACTTATACAATTTGGATGTGAAGTCATGTTGTGCACGAAAAAAAAGGTGAGCGACCAGAACTAAACCATTTTTTTTTTTCATTGATCGTTTCGGTTTTTGGCAAAAAAATATTTGAACCACGACTATGCCATCTAAGGATCGCAATATCGTCAAACAATATTTTAAAGTTCAATTTCGAACAGGGAACTGGAAAATCAATAACTAATATTCCTATTACCTACTAGATAAATACTGATAGGTACTACCAATTCGTGATGTACCTAACTCAATATTTTTCAAATGCATATTGCTAATCATTTATTAGGAAATACTTACCTGTTATTGTTTCATCAACTATCTTGAAATATACAGTGTGTATCAGCCAAAATGGAATAAATTCGATAATAAATAAATGGGGAACTTTTCGAAAAAACGCTCAGACACGTCGATTTTGTTTTTCTCCTTGAGATTTTTTCACGCCAATTTTTTTATACAGGGTTTTCCAAGAACAGCTGTAAGGTCATCAACCTCTTTTTTTTTTAAATGGTACCCCCTGTATATACACTGGATCTTGCGGAAATTCTAGACATATTTTGTGTACAATGTCATATAGGTACCTATCTTTAACTGTTTCGGGAATATGGACAGTTGAACATTGACTTATTTGCAATTTTGACAGGCTGTAAAACCTAAACGGTTCATTTTACAGCAAAACCAACAAGCAAAAATATGTGGAGTACTCACGTGAAAGAAGGAAAAAAACGTGGCCACGAGATAGATCCCATTATTATACAAGTTGAAGTAGAATATAGTTTTACGACCAGGTATTCATCAGAACACGAAAGTTGATTAACGACTGGCAATATTCCTTTTATTGCGTTTATTTGAATTTTTTGTACGATAGCTTATCATCTTTTGTTTTTCATTATGTCGATTGGTGTCCTAAAAATGTTTGAAAAGTCTAAGCCGCAGATACTTTAAATTCGACAAACTCTAACTTCTATACTATGCGACACCAGTAACGATATTATCTGATATACCAAGATTCATCAATTTTAAGTAGGATCAGAAAATGGGAATGACCTCCGACGTTTTTTGAGGTTAAGTCGAGTTTAGTCTTAAGGATTTATTGAAATGTTAGGGGTAGTATAGGTTTCTATACTTTTAAACTGCCTACATGAAACAAATCAACTATATACCTACTATACAAATTTCGAGGCAAATTTTTATGATGCCTAAAGTACAAAAAATCTCAAATAAACAGACTGTAGTTTGTTTCCTACAACTCTTAATAGTAAAAAAATAATTTTTATCAAAGTTGAATGTACATGGAAATTTAAGTCGTCCCTCCTTTTTTTTTTGCATATTTGCAACCCTGTCAGACAACAAAAGGTATTTTATTCTCAATTAGGCGATTCGAATCAGCTGATAATTCAAGATGGCGACGTGGGCAGAAATGTGAACAAACATTGCCTCCATATAATTGTGTGTCATTTCTATCTGTTTCAGAATTTGATTTGATGAATTTTAATTTATTTCAATTTCCTTTAATGTTCGTAGTTAAAACCGAGTAACTCAGAATATTTATCTACTAATAAAATATCTGAGCAACAGGTACAAAACGGACCCCAAGTAGGTAGATATAAGTGCTACATACATACTGTGATGGCAAAAACTCACTTAACACTGTAGTTTGTAGTTCACTTCAAATACATAAATGGCATCTTTAAACAAGCCTTGCTAATCGACATTTATGACAAATATAAAGTGGTTCAGAGGCGAATCAATGTTAAAAACATAAATTACATAAACCACAGCAAGGCCAAAAATAAAAATTCCTACAAAAAACGTTCTCAAACTGATAAAAACATTTTAGAAATCCACAGAAAATACACAGTCTCTTATGGACGTCAAGTTTGTTATGCCCACGGTGCCATCTGGAATATCAAAAAATTGAAAGAACGTCAAACATCAAATCGCCCTTTTCTACTACTCCCATTTTCAAATGTTTCTACGGTCTTTAAGTTATAACATACCTTTTCATATCAAATGTAGATTCTAATTGAAAAACTTGCGATCTAGAAAATACCGTCCTTGTTTTCTTTTTTCTCTTATTGGATAATGAATTTCCTGGGCTCATACCTCCAGGTCCTGTTACTTTTTTATCTTTTTCATTATCATAGTCACTCTCCTCATCTTCGCCTTCTTCATCTATAACCATATTATCTCCATCTCTAAATAGCGGACTTTTTGACCTACCATAGCTTTCCATTGGGCTTTTTGATCGATTTCCGTAATTGGGTTCCATAAAGGCAGGATGTGAGGAAAGCATTGGCGAAGGCGATGTCGTCGCAGACCGTTGGTGATCAGAGGGGGAGGAGGGACGTGAAGATCGACATTCATTTTTGAGAATTTGCGTGTGATCGGCTCTTGGGGATAGGGGTGGGGATTGATCATCATTGATTGAACCACCTGTAACAAAGAGAAAATATTTTTATTTCGGGAAGATTAAAATGTCCAATGAAAAAGATTGAAATGGCATACATTGATACATTACAGTTTATTGCAGGGTATCTGTGTGACAAATTTAAAATAAATAAATTTTATCAGAATATTTTTCATACCATGGAAAATTTAAAGGCGTTGTACACTTTCAGTGCATTTACTTCATTGTTGCTATGAGGTTGTGTCGCTTTTAGGCGCTGCTGAAATATGCGATACGTGTGATTGTGCTTTGTAAGACAATGAAGCGAAAATCGAACTTGCTTCTATTAGACACTTCCCAATAAGCTACATACCGATTTCTAATCTACCAGTTCTTGTCACACCGTCAGGAAGTAATACTTTGTGAATTGCTAATGGATAAATTTAAACATTGTCTTGATTCATGATTGTTGTATTTTGGTTCGATTTTAAGTGGCCTTGAAAGAACCAGTAAGATTTAGACAGATTGTCATTGTGATTACTTTTGTCAATTTATGTATTTAAAATATATAATTATTCTGCTACAATTTTAAAATTAATATTGACGACGAGGAAACTACGAACCCACAATGCCTTCAAGAAGAAGAAATCAACAATCAAGTATTGAAGATGTTTAAGCTTCTACAAGCAGTTTAAGTTCTACTACACATGCTGTCCATACAGTATTTTCAATTGAATCTTATGATATCAACAAACGATTTGATCTTTGACTTATGCATTTAGAAAGTGCATTTAGCGTGTTTGAAATACCATATGGTATGAAAATGGCATATTTACTTCATTACATGGGTTCAGATACATTACACTTTGTGATAAAGTTTCACCTGGAAAACCTGATGACATATTTCAAGCTATTGCTGACATTTAACTGCATCATTACAATCCTGAACCATTAGAAATAGCTGAGATTTTTCGATTCTTACAAAGAAAACAACAAGATGGTGCAACGGTACGGTACAAGAATTTTTAACAAACTACGAAAATTAGCTTCAACATGCAATTTTGAAAGCTATTTAGAGAAAGTTTTGCGAAATCAATTTGTTTTTAGTCTTCGTTCTCAAGATTTTCAGGGTCGATTATTAGAAATTAGAGATTTAACTCTGGAAAATGCTTTAGCGATTGTCAAAAGCATTAAAATGTCTACAAGAGATACTGCGGAATTACACCACTCCAAAAATTCATCGGATTTTAACCAGCTGAATCAAAATACGAAGAATGAGAAGAATGCTCAAATTTTTCTGGTTTTTCTAAGCAAAACTATAATAGAAAACTTTTATGTTTTATATGCGGTTCAAATCAACATTTAGCAAATCGATGTGATGAGAAGCATGTAGTTTGTGGTTTTTGTAAAGTTCCAGGGCATCTTACCAATGTGTGTTGAAAAATAATAATCGGAATCAAATTGAGGAAACCACAAGCAATGTTGAAGAAATTTTGGCTGTTGAACATTCAAAGTTTCGCAACAAGTTTATGGCTACTTTGAAAATAGATGAAATTTCTTTTGAAATTGAAGCTGATACAGGTGCAGCAGTAAGTTTGATGAGTTATACAATGTTTAAAAAATTGTTTCCAAATACAATGTTACAATAGACAGATTTAAACCTAGTAAGTTTCTGCAAATCTAATATACAGGTTTTAGGGTTTGTTGAAGTAAATGTACAATATAAAAATTTGTCCAAAAATTAAATATGTACATTGTCGATCAGGAAAAGCCACCATTGCTTGGTCGTAAATAGTTGAGACAAATAAATATAATACGGATGTTTCTCAGGTTTGACCAAATGAAAATAGATTAAACTACAAATCTAAGTTAGATGATCTACTAAAAAAATATGACTTAATTTTCAAAGATGACATAGGTAAAATTAAAAATATACACGCTAAACTAGATATTAAATCTGATGCTGCGCCAATTTTTATTAGATCCAGAAAAGTACTTTTTGCGTTAATGCCAAAAATAGAAAAAAAATTAGAGTTTTTAGAGGAACAAGGCGTTCTTGTAAAAGTCAATAGTTCTGAGTATGCTACACCTATTGTTCCGGTTGTTGAATCTAATAGCAGAGTTCTAATTTGTGGTGATTTGCGAAGTACCATAAATCCAAGATTGGTTGTCGATCAGCATCCACTGCCGACCATTGATATATAAACTCTTTTTATCCATGGCAGGAGGTGATAAATTTACCAAGTTAGATTTAAGTCAAGCCTATTTACAAATGGAGGTTGATTCAAATGATCAACAATATTTAGTTCTAAATACAGACATATAGGTTTAAATAAATTTACTTGTTTAATGTTATGGCATTACAAGTGCTCCTTCAATTTTTCAAAGAGAAATTGAAAATATTCTTAAAGAAATTCCGAATGTGTCAGTTTTTCCGGATGATATTAAAATTACGGCTTATAATGATGAAACACATTTACAAATTCTGGAAACCGTTCTAAAGCGTTTGTTCGACTACAATATCAAAGTTAATTTAGAAAAATGTCAGTTTATGGGAATCCAAAACTGATTATTGTGGTTATGTAATTGATAGGAACGGAATATACAAATCTAAAAAGAAAATTGATGCTGTCAAAAACGTGGAGATTCCTACTAACCAAACTGAGGTTCGAGCTTTTATTGGTCTTGTAAATTATTATGGTAGATTTCTTCGAAACTTGAGTCATACCTTATATCCTCTTAATAATTTACTTAAGAATAATGTACCATTTGTTTGGTCTCAGCCGTGTCAAAAATCGTTTGATAATATCAGAGTAAATTATGTCTGAGCAAGTGTTAACACATTTTGATCCTACACTACCAATAGTACTAGCTACAGATGTAAGCTCTTATGCAGTTGAAGCAGTTATTTCTCATGTTTTTCCAGATGGTTCAGAACGTCCCATTCAATTTGCTTCTCAAACGTTGAGTACAACTGATAATAAGCCGCTAATATATATTTTGTCTCCAGATAAAAGTTCTTCCAAATTTACTACAATGAGAATGCAACATGACGCACTATTTCCACAATTTTTTACTATAGCCATTGAATACAAATATTTTTAAAGTAACGCTAATGCTGACACAACGTTGAGATTACCACTATACCCTATTCTAAAGAAAATATTTTTGATGAAGTTGATTGTTATCAAATTTCTCAGTTGGATGTATTACCGGTAAGCTTGGTGGACCTTTCAAGTTCCAAGTGAAGCTGAAAAAGATCCTATTTTAAACAAGATTTTTGTAGCTTTGAAATTGGGAAAAGCTTTAGATAGAAAAGATTGCTTTAAAATTGATTTTTCAGAATTTTCTTTGCAAAATGGATGCATTTTCAAAGCTTACCAAGTAGTAGGTAGTAGTACCAAAAATATTGCGTAAAAAAATTATGAATGAATTATCACATTGCTCATTTTGGTTCTGTGAAAATGAAATCTTTAGATCGTAGTTATTGCTGGTGGCCAGAAATGTCCAACGATATTGATGCTATTGTAAGAAATTGCAGTGGTTGTAATAGAAACAAAAACAATCCAGAATTAGTTCCAGTTCATTCATGGGAACCGGCAAAACAGCATTTCAGCGAGTACATATTGAATATTGATTTTTTAGGACCATTTTTCAATAGAAATTATTTGGTATTGGTGAATGCATTTTCTAGGTGGCCTGAAATCCATCCTGTTGATGATATGACTGCTGAATCTACAATAATTTTGTGTAAAAAAAATATTTCCATCATTTGGAATACCTAAAACTTTAGTAAGCGATAATGGTAAAACTTTTACTTCCTACAAATTTAATTGTTTTTTGAAAGAAAATGGAATTCTTCATGGATTAATTGCCCCTTACCATCCTTTTACGAACGGATTGGTAGAAAGATGTGTACAAACTTTAAAAAAATCAATTGATCTTGAAACTCAAATTTTTAATTTTTTGTTGCAATAGAAAAACTCCTCATTCAATAACAGGTTTAGGTCCTTCATATTTAATGTTTGGCAGAAAAATTAGAAGTAGATTATATTTGTTGAAACCTAAGAACTTAGGAAAATTTGAAAATCTACAATCTTCAAAGGTTAAAGATTTTCAACAGGGGGAAAGAGTTGCTGTTGGAAGTTATTATTGTGACACCAAATGGGAATTTGTTAAAATAAATGCTAGAATTAGAAAACTGCATTACCTAATTAAATTGTATAGTTGCAATAAAATATGGAAACGTCATGTTAATCAGATGGTAAAAATTGGTGAAGATACACCAGAAGTCTAATAGTTTGGAAACAATGGTTACATTATTGTAGAACTTATCATTTATTGTATTTTAAAATAATAATAATAATAATAAAATGATTACCTATGATCATTTTTGATACAAAAATTACATGTTGTTATGCTTCTTATTGGTAAAGTTTCTGTTTATAAGGGGGGAAACTGTTGTGTTTTGGTTTGATTTAAAGTGGCCTTAGAAGAACCAGTAAGATTTAGACAGATTGTCATTGTGGTTACTTTTGTTAAAAAATATAATTATTCTGCTACAAATTATTGATGATCATTGAAATGCCTAATTTTCTGTATTAATGAACCTGATAAGGTTTTCCATTCAAAAAAAATACCTATTATTTTAGGAAGACTCAAAAATGTCTCTGATTTAAAACAATTTAATTTGCTGAAGCATTAGAATAAAAATCCTGTTTCTGGTTTTAAGCGAAAAACAACAACTCGATTCAAATTCTAAATCGCAGAAAGCAGATTAGAAATTCAGAGGTATTTTTCCTTGGTTTGACAATATTGGGCTTTGCGCCGACGATAGCACGCTTGCGGGGCTTCCCCCGATTATAACTAAACTTAATGTAAGACTTCGGAAGCCTTTTTAGTGGTGTTTAAATACAGCCTGGCACGGCAGCAACAAATCTTCCCTGGGCCCCTGGGGCCAGAAGCTATTCAGGCGTTCGTTCGTCGTCGCTAAGCGGAAACCTAAGACGACGTCTGCCAGAAAATCTTGCTTAAATAGGGAGCTACTTACTTTGGTATGTAAAAACGTAAACCGGTAACCTGATCCCTGATCCCAAATAAATGTATAGCGTTTACTTTTATTTAATCGAGGCAAAAGGGGTTTGGAAATTTTAGATTATTCGACGACTAGCTGTATTATGTATTTTACTATATTTTCAGATTTACAGCCTTTCGAATTCTTGCATTTCTACAAATATACAAGGCATTCCTGATTTGTCGATTTTCAGCAATTTTTCCTAGTACTGTAAGTGTTTTGCTAAAATGCTGGTCATGAGATATGGAATAAACTTGATTTTGTAATGATAGTTTTTAGTATCTACTACGGGCCGAATAGAAAGCGGTTATCAATTTTTTTTGGGAATAATAATGAAATACTTTGTGAATGTGTTGAGCAACTTTTCAAAATTTTAAAATCATCCGGATGTATAATAGCAATTTTTATAAATGTATCTCAATCTATAGTTATACAGGGTGTTTGGTATACGATAGGAAGTTTTCAATGCGTGATAGTTGGGGTCATTTATTTGGAAGATGTTTGACATTTTTAGCCTTATGCAAAGTTTTGTCGTTTTTGAGATATCGGGATTCTTAGATATTTTTGGGAAAATATTTGAATTGTTCCTAAAACATATTGTCAAGCCAAAAAATATCACATCAACATTATTATTTCAATGCGAATTAACAAAAGTTCATTGACAAGTAATGTACCAATTTAGTTGGGCAATACGGATGTTATATTAAATAAAGCAAACGCTTTAGGATGTTAGCAAAAAGCTTAGAGCCAACGTCCTAGGTTTTAGGTCAATGATTTTTGCTGACACTTCTGAATCGATTTGGATCGATAAGGCGTTATTTTCGAGCTAGCTGTAAATCTAAATTCGGGCGCTTAAATTGTGCTACTACGGACTATGCTACGTGCTGCAGAAAGATGGGTCTCCGGTAAGTACCGTTATTTAACATTTATAAACTATGTCTTAGTGTTCTCATTGGTTAATCAACCCTTTAGTTGTAATCAATAAACTTAATTATTGTTAATGTTTTAGGACTTATTGTTTCAATTCATTAAAACCCCAAAAGATCCCAAACCCCCAGTTGCAACAAAATAGGCTGTGACAATATTGTTTTTTTCCTAGTAACCACTTTAACCTTTCCCATTTTTTTTTTCCGATATTCCTAATATGCACTCTTTCAAAACAATACGGAAAGAAAAACTGAATGATTGATACAAAAAAATATGTATCCCAAGTTATGTGTTAAAATACATAAATTCGAAATATCTGAAAATGGCGATACCTCAAAAAACTGCGAAATTTTTCATGAGGGTGAATATGGTTAAACAGCTTCCAAATGACCCCAACTATCGCTCATTAAAAATTTCCTATCGATGTACCAAACGCCAATTTTTTCCTTTGTCTGATGGGGCTGGGTTTTGCAAATCCCTAGATTTTGTTCTGGTTTTGCAACATGACATTCAGTTGTTGTTGAATCGAGTTCATCTGTCGCACTTGTGATTCCAAAGTTGGTTGCGCTGGAGGTTGTTGTAGTAGTTGGCGCTGCTGTTGCTGGATAATGGTTGGCTGCATATTTGGCTGTTGGTCCCAGACGAAGTTTGACTGGGGGCAGGCTTGTAGAGTAAAAATCAAACGAGAAGGAACCATTCTCGTCAGCGCTGACAAAGAAAGCAGATTTCCTTTTCTCTGGGTCCCTCCCATTTAAAGTGAGACAAACGATAATGCGTGTGGCTTCTTCTCGTTTGATTTCTACTCTAGGCGGGCTTTCTCTGATGTTTGGGATTTTTCGTGCAACCTTGATAAGAAGCTGGATGCGGTCCGCCGCAGTTTGCACAGGTGGCAACTTTCTCCCTGGGTTCGGTACAGGTGGAGGTGTGGTGGTCGTCGGCGCATTTGACACATTTGGTTATGACTTGGCACTTGGATTGAGAATATCCGTAAAGCTGGCATCTGTGGCACTGCTTGGATCGTTCTTGTGTTCATTGAGTTTCAGCTCTCACTCTTATGTTGTTAATGTAGTTGAGCTTGTATATCGAGGTCCCAGCGATTGGAAAAATCACCAGTACAAGTGCTACTGGGGCACCCTTGGGGTTGTACCGTCTAATGACGTCGGATGGAGGTTTTCTCTTTCTAACTCGTCTTTGTTGAAATCGGTCGTCCAGTCTTGCAGTGGCCCATGATGACTACCTTGAGCTTCTTTTCTTCTGGGAGAGAAAAGGAGTGGAACGGTTCTCCGTTCTCCTCGAGAAAGGTCTGCATTCATCTGTAGTCCCCTATTGAAGTGGGGTGCAACTTGATCCTCTCGCTGGTGTTGGTTGCCGGGCCGAACGAAATTTTTTGTGGCTTGAAATGGGCGGTGATCTCGTTATACTTGTTTTTGTTCCTTAGAACAATTGGTGGGATCCTTTCCCGAGGAGGAAGAGGAGCCGTGATTGTGACTGGCGCAGGAGGATTGATCTGGAACCCCTTTCTGACAGGTCGTGAAGAGGCAGAAGCTGTAGCGGTCGGGTTGGAGGAGCTCTGAAATTGGGCTGGATTTCGAACAATGATCGTCGGGGTCACGAGCCTTTGAGCGGGCTCTGGTTTGTGGTTGGGTTGCTTCCTTCTTGGTTGTGTTTCTTCGCTATCTGTAGAGTTTTCCCTCCTTTTAGACGTGGCAGACGTGACGGATTCGATGTCGCTGATGTCATGGTCGTGATCACTGTCGCCATTGGAATTCTCGCCGGAGGCTACTTCCATCACATGATCGTCCACTATTTTGGCGAAGCGTTGTATCTTGGCCATTTTGATTTCGTCCTGGGTTTAAAATGCACTGGCGGCGGTTTTTAAATGGTGGTTTTCTTTGAAGGTGGCTTCTGCTTTCTGGCCGAGCTTGGCATTATCGTTTTGTAGCTTGGTATTATCGCTTTGGAGACGGGCGACATCTTGTTCTAGTGCGCCATTTTCATGACTAAGGCCTTGTATATCATATCTTCTTGAAGACCCTTGATTTCCTGCACGATCTTCTGCTGCCAATCGCTGGATTGTAGTTGGTCCATGACGATATTTTTCAGCAACTATCCTGAAAAAGACTGTTGCTTCAACGATAGCAAGCATTCGAATGCCAAACACCCTGTATACGTCGGCTTTGAAGTACTCGTCAGTGGGAATCACGCACTGATCATGGCGTACAAGTGCAAATCTCCGTGACATTGTCAATTGAGTGAGATAGAGACAACAATTCTGAATTTGACCTTGAATAGCCATGTAAGAAATTAGGACCTATACAGAGGCTAACTGCTGTCATTTCGACCATCGAAAAACTAAAATAGCGATATATGAACCGATGAACTGAAAGACTACGGAAATGGAGAACGCGTACAGATAGGCGTAGCAGCGGAAGACCACCAACTCGATGGGCTGACGTTGTCGAAAAAAAAAATCAAACAACTGGATGCTTAACAGTCCAGAACAGAACCGAATGGAAAAAAGTGGGAAGGCTTATGTCCAACCATGGACACAAAGGACGATGCTGATGCATTGTCACTGGTGTCTTGTCTCTGGTACCAAAATCAACAGAAAAGTAGGGATAAGAGTTCAACATTAATGGGGCCATGTGGTTAAAGAGTGTACTTGTTCTAAGTTTAGAAAACTCTGAAACGTTTTCTTATGGGCTGGTTGCTCTTTCAGTTTATTGCTAGACTATTCCCAATAAATTTATTTGAAGCAGCGAATACAGCAACTATTCCTTTAATTAATATTAAACTCTTAAGTATATATCATTATTACAATATTGAATAATACACCGAAGACTGACGTTAGCTTCTGGATTGACCTGTGCCCGTACGATTTCGTTTTCCAATACACGCACTGTGTTCAAATTTAAGCTATGTTATAGAAAAGAGGCAGTAAGATTTTTACTACCTATTTATAGTAGTGGTCATAGGTGTGTATATCAGCGTTTTTGCCATTATTGTGTTTTTTGTGCTTCGATTTTTTACCGAGCTTTCTACGTATTCCGACCTTCTTTATACGTCATGTACACTTGGCCAAACATAAAACTGGTACAGGCAATATATATTTTTCAAATTTGCCTAGTGTGAGTCAGGCTTAACAACAAAAAGTCTGTTCTGAAAAACTTAGTTCAGACAGTTTTTGTCAACGTCAAACCTGAACAAAAGTAAATGCAACATGTTTTTATGTTATGATTGGTTCAAATATGACACTGACTTACCTCTTTTTGTCATTGTTTAGGTGATAAAAAAGGTCGATTTACACAATACAACACAATAGGAAAATGCCTACCAGTTTTATGTTTGGCCAAGTGTACGTGTTGGCTAAGAATGTTTTTTAATACGACGCCACTTATAATTATCCGTAAGCTCTGTGATAGCATACATATTATTTATATCTCCTTATTTGCCTGATAACTACATTATCCTGTATTCGTACTATACATACCTATATCTCCGATATATTATACAACGCGATAAAGGAATGTTTGAAAGTAAACAGGATCGAAAATATTTACCTGTGGGACTAAGTTTCTCCCTTGGAATGTGCGCCGTCGGGATCCGTCCCCAATACCAGGGTAACGACCGAGGGTCAGTGGGGGCCCCGCAAAGGGCGGCGTACCTGCTACTTGCCGCCGCTAATGCTCCAAAGTGAGTCATGATTCCTAACCTGTAACAAGAAATTATGTGATAAATTTTGTTTGTTTCTGTATGTATGGAAATGTTCAAATATGAATTGGATGCGTAGCATACATCTTTTAATAGCGTCCCAAGTAAGGTATCCAGAATAACTTGACACATAGATTATAGATAGCATTTTCCTTCATCATCAGGGTCGATGCTTTCTTAGTACTATTTGAGTTTACCCAATGACATTCTATCATATAGATTTGTCAACAGTGTGCATTTTTTGTTAGTTTCGCATACATATTCTAGAGCTCAAGGCTCAAGCCTTACTTTGTTCTCTTCTGCTGCATCCTCCAGTAGGCAAATTACAATTGGCGAATGAACTTTTGAAAAATGTACCTAGATGGCGATTATGGGAATGGATGCGGCAAGTAGATTTCTCTAGTTCAAAAAATTCTAACACACCAGCCTTTAATAACTAAATATATTTGAGAAAACTTCGTTGTTCAATTTTATTTTTCTCCAAATTATTGCATTTTACAAATTTGCGAAAATGTCAATTATCAAATAATTAGGCTCTCCAAACCACGTGATTTTTCAATATGGCGACTGTGGAAAATTTGACGTTTGTTTGTTTATCTTGAGTTTATTTGGAATATTTTCAAGCTAATTACAATTTACTTTGTTATAATATACTTTTTAAGATGCAGAGTGAATATTTAAAGACTTGAATGCAGGAAAATCGGGATCTGGGCGAACGGTTAGTTTAAAAAAATGTCCAGATGACATTTTGATCCACAGTTCACATTAATGAGCAAATGAAGGCCTACAAAAGCTTAGATTCTTACGAATATTTCCAAAATGGCTTTATTTCAGATGCAGGAACAGTGGTAGTGAAAAATTTTCACGTTTTAATTGGAAAATTTTAAAACAAAGGGCAATGAAAAAAGCCTGACATCATCCTTGTTACCTTGTTGAAACTACTTCCCCAATCAACTTCAAGACCCGTTTGTGGAATTTTTAATTGGAAGAAACACTAATGAAGTCAATAAAATAAACAGAGTTCATTCACAAAACAACCACAAAATGCACTTTAAAAAGCTTTAAATTACATAATCTCATATACGGGATAATGAACTTTCGCCACAACGCACTTTTTGACAGGTCGTTGGAATGCCTAATTGGGCCCAGTCTTGAAAATTGCCTTCCAGCGATTTTTTTTCCTGAACTATAGCTCAATTTGTAGAAGGTGATTCCTTCCCATTGAAACACTTCTGATGGATAAACCATTACGAAATCGTGATAAATAATAAACTCGTTGTCAAGTGAATCAGTAAATATAAGAGCAAATATAAATGTATGAATACAAAAAGTTACACGGCATAATACATTGATCAGAACGAAAAAGGGGCCACTTCTGAATAAGTTCGTAGTTTCTAACGAAATTATTTTATCTTTTTATTTGTCCCCAACACGTCAAAAACCGTCCCATACTCTGTATACGAATTTCGGATTCTATGCACAAATTTTAGGCTTTGCGCAGAATCGAGACGGTATACATTGTACGGTTTCCTGCTGTGTTGGAACAGAGCTTAAAGGCGGGCACAGACATGCGGCATTCGGCGAGTCTCGAATCACAAATATTTGCTATTCGGCAAGTAGCGGTAAGTGTGTATGGGTTGCTCGGGCAAATATTCGCTATATTATGCCCGAGCAACCCATACACACTAATCGCTACCTGCCGAATAGCAAATATTTGTGATTCGAGACTTGCCGAATACCGCATGTCTGTGCCCGTGAGAGCAAATTTCAAACTTGTAATTTTTTATAGAAAGGGTAAACAAACCGTCATAAAAACAACCTTTTTGGTTTCATATGGAACTGCGTGTCTGCTGGGAAAACAGAAATTTTCTCTTTAATGCAATAAAGAAATTATATAAAAATACTGAAGTGGCTCCTTTTTCGTTTTGATCAGTGTATTTTAACGATTCACGTATTCAGGCAGTGAGCAAACGAAACCCGAGAGAAAGTCCTACAAAGTTTAAAAACTAATATTATTTATAACAGCTTCTCTATTTATTTGTATCAGTAAGATTTTGTACGGGAGTCAATAACTCTGGTTTTGCCTCTTTATAACTAAATCTGGATTGCGGGGGCATTCCAGGCTCGATGGTTTGAAAGTTGACCGACTCGATACGAAAGTCAGCAAACTACTTAGAGCGTTGTAAACTTTCACATATCGCCAGAACTTAGTGAAATAATTAATGAGTTAAGTAAATTTTGGAGTAGGTATTTACATGCTGTGGATATCTTTGCATAAGAAATTAACTGATAGTGCTGGCCTCTCTAATACATAGGTACCTACTAAACTATTTTCAACAGCGGTAAATAATAACAACATTACAGTAAATGATTCAAATATAACAACCCAACAGAATCCATTGACCAATTGTAACAACGATAAGTGGGAAATGTGTGCAACTGTGGAATATTTTAAATAGAAATTGAGTAGGTATACCGCGAGTAAATTGTAATTAATTTTGTTCAAATGGAAAAGCGGGATCGATTAAAATTGTTGGAAACATTGCACGGTAATTGTACGGGTTTGAATAATAATTATTATTTTTAATTTTGAGCATAAATTCATTGCGCCGCTACGCATTGTTGCTCGTCGTTCAAAATATATACCTACACGATAATATTCTCCTTCAAATTAAAATTGATCTATAAATTGCGTTATTGCAAAACAAAATACGTATTTGTTTGGCTTCGTTTTGAATTTATTTTCTATTCACTTATTAAAGCATTATGGTTAGTGTGAATTTTATTGTTTAGTAAATGTGCACTTTTACCGAGACTTTTACCTATCAGTCAGACAGACATGATGTTCATGATAGTTATCATGCTTGGGACCAACTGTCAAATGAGACTCAGCATAGAAATTCACTAATTGGTGTATAAACAAATTATGCAATTATTGGAGAGCTTAGCAATGAAACAAAAATTATTAGGAACCTAAAATGAAATATATAGCATTGTATAATGAATTATTTATACTGAACTCAACTGACAGATAACAACACTGAAAATTGAAGTATAAGTACAAAAGAGAAGAAAGAGAAAATTTGTCTCAGTACCTATATCAAATTATTTAGAATAATCAGATAGAATAATATGTTGTACCTACTTAGTTTATGTGGTGTTCTATGATAATGTGAAAGTGATATAACAAATTGAAGGATGAAGGCTAATTCAATACTCTGGCTAAGCTCCTAAAATAGTCGGCAATGATATACACTACGCATTATGCAAGACATAATTAATACCTACTCGTATTACGCATACAGGTTTAAGAATTTAGGAGAAATTATGGGGATCTTCACTTGGAGTTGAAGAGTGCTTTCTGAGCAAAAAACAATGGCCTAAGATTTGAACCTGACTAACTTGTGTCGAACCTGAGTGAAAGTTTGCTGAATTCTGGTTCGTTTTCGTGTAAAACCTGAGTTATATCTGGCTCTTACCTGGATGATACCTGCGTGTTACCTGGAGGGTACCTGGTTGTTTACTGCACAAAACCTGGGTTATATCTGGGGAAATTGCTCAAGCTAAGGACAGCATGAACCTAGGGCCTAGATCTTAACGTAGAACGCCAAATTATGTCACTAGTCATTTGTTTGATTGCCTACGCTTCTGACTTCCTTTATTTTCACAAATGGCCGACGCCAGAATATTATGTTGTTAGTATCGGTTTTTTATACTGAAAAGTATTTTTTTCACGAAAATTAATTTGGCTGAGGGTAACGATATATTTTTAAAATGTGTTGGCATTGATAGTTGATCAAATAGTGTCTCAGAATTAAATAGTAAGTGAATCCACAATGTTGTTTCCGATTTTAGGTTAGATTTTTTTTGTAACATGTGCAGTGAATGAACCTAGAGACACATATATTGGATGTACCTAGACACAAGTTTATTATTGTCCCTAGATTCATCATGATATGTATTGTCTCTGTACAATCAATCAATTCGATAGTAAATTGAGACAATATATCTCAGGTGAAATGGGAAGAAGTAAAGCTCAATGGAAGCTACCGTACGAGAGGTTGTCGAGGAAAAACTATCACTGAGAGGGGCTTCAAGAAAATATGGAATTTCAAAATCCGCCATAGAACGCAGTGTCAAAATATTTAAAGGCAACACTACTCCAGGGGTTAAATTGAACTACATACCTCAATATTATATTCACAGAATTTTTACTCCCGAGCAAGAATCTGATTTGAGAGATTACCTTGGTTTAGCTGCACAACACAATTATGGACTCACAAGGATTGAATTAAGGAAAATCGCATACCAATATGCTGTAGCAAACCAAATACCGGTTCCACAATGGGAAGCAAAAAAATCTGCAGGACAAAGCTGGTTGCGAATGTTTCGTAAGTGACATCCTATCTCTCTGAGAAAACCTAAAGCTACCAGTCTTTCCAGGGCTACTGCGTTCAACAAGACAAATGTTCAGAAGTTTTTTAATAAATAAAAGGACGTCCTTGGCCGTAAAGAATATCAGCCTTACCAAATCTGGAATATTTATTAAACGGGCCTTTCTACTGTCCATGCTCCTCCGAAAGTATTTGCATCCAGAGGCGCGAAACAGGTTGGGAATATGTTATCTGTTGAGAGGGGCACTAACGTCACTAAGATTTCTGCAATAAGTGCAGCAGGAAATAATGTGCCACCTTTTTTCGTATTTCACAGAGTCCATTTTAAACCAATTATGTCAAAAGGAGCACCTCCTGGATCAATCGGGGCAGCCAATCACAGCGGATGGTTTAACAAAGACATATTTAAACAGTACCTTCCGCCAGAATGCTCCCATAAAATGCAGCCCCTAGACCGAACGGTTTTCGGGCTATTTAAGTAGCAATGCGATGAATGACTCGATGAATTCCCCCAATCATGCTAAACGACCAGTGAACATATATGACGTGCCAGAATTAGCTGGAATTGCTTATGAACATGCATTTTCAATTAAAAATAATGTGGATT